GCCCTTCCCGCCCTTCCCGCCCTTCCCCCCATCCCCCCGACCGCCTCTGCTTAGGAAAATTTAGGAGAGGGGGAGTAGCGGCGAATTGCACTTGGGGACTTACCGCCTGGACCAAGCCCAGCCGACCCCCTCCATGAATGCTGGACCTGCTGGAACAGGCATGCAACAAACACATCCTAAGTGAGGCTTGCCTCCGTTACTTCCTCCACCCTAAACACACGTGTCAACTACATGCCATGACCTATTCGTGTGCTCCTCGCCCTGCCAGCCGAGGCGGGCGCGCGATAGCGTTTATAATTACTGATTGAGTCTGGAGAATATCCTGCCTCTCCTTGCCGCTTCATATTCTTCACGCCATCAGCCAGGACACCAAGAAGGTTCTCAGGTTCACCTGGATCTGCCTGAAGGAGGAACAGATTACAGGATTACATGGACTGAGCCAGCCCCTGCGAAGAGTACAGGAGCCGACAACATGCTGCAGCTTTGTACACATGTTACCAAATGCTGGATCCTTGTCTGCAGCTGCATCTTCAGGCTCCTCTGCAATGGGCGTCTCCAACATCACAATTCAAATTGGCCGCTTGCCAGCCTCCTCAACCTGAAGGAAAGAGAGGTTGGGCTCCTGTCATGTCAACATGTCAGTGCTTTGAGACTGCAGGAGATTGAGTGAGGTGTAAATGCTTGGCACCTCCGCCTCTTCCTTGGAGTGCTCTGTAGCTCGACGCTCCGCGATGGCTAGTGCTGAGGCCGCCTGCAGAAAACTGCTGAAAGTTTCTTGCGTCACGTTCAACATAGCCTGTACGTGCTACAAAGTTGCTCGTAACTTGCCCATCATAGTCGCATCCACTAATTCAATTTCTTTTGAAAACAACTTCTTCGCTTTTGATTGCCAGAACCACGCTGTCTGACAAAATCATTCAATTTTTTGATTCGAGATCGACACCCGCCCCCGACCACAACACTTTCAAGCGCCAAGCATGCCCAAACTTTATTTTTTTTGGGCGCAATCCGGGCTGCTGATGTAAAAGCCGAGTAAATCGGCTGTGGGAACTTGACCTGAACGAGAAAGGCCCGCTCCGGTCTGTAAATATTTTGATCTGGCAGTTTTGTGGCCGGCTGTTGTTACAAATCTTAATTGGAGATCGTCCTTCTCTCAGATGTATGGTTACAATTGGCAAGTCGATGGCCACCGACGTGCTCGGGCAGCACAATCTTGATTTTGCAGTAAGGCAACTTCTCTATGTCTTGCACAATGTTGAGGAACACGACGAGATCGCCGCACGGGAGTACCTGCAGCCTTACAGTCACGTCCCCCGCCAGCATCTCTGGAAGGCTCCGGAACCATCATTGCCCTCTCCGCGAAGAGTTCCAGCGGAGGATCTTCATACCGGCCAGAAATCAATCATGGGAAGGAATATATGAATGCCCAGAAGAAAGGGAAGCAGGTACAGTAGAAGAGAACAGCCAACCCAGCCCAACCCATGAACACCTTGAGAAGGCGAAGAACCACAGGATGGGGAAGAAAACGGCTGGACGGCTGGAATGAGAGGGGGGCCGAAACGGGGCAGTAACAGCAGCAGAAACCTGGCTTGCGAAAGAACAAACCAAAAAGAACGACCCATACCAACAAAAGGCCGCTTGACCCACTGGCCCACACAATGTCGGGAGGAGACGTCCACAGAGCGCAGCTGCGCAGAGAGAAGGTGGCAGAGCAGAAATGCCACGTGAGCAAGGCACGAGAAGCGGCACCCAGCAAGAACGCTGGCTAGCAGGAAGCCCGAAGTCCGGACTCGGGCCGAGTAGGCCGCAAAGAGAAGCGAAGAACAAGAAAAGGCTGGGCGAAGAACCGCAGCGCGGGCAGAGCACTAAGAAGCGGCGCCCAGCGTAAACACCAACAGCTTCGCAAACATGAGCCAAACCACAGCAAACCTCAACAAGGCCGCGCACACCAGCAATGTGAAGCAACCGTCACACAAGCAAGCGCGAAGAAGCGGCGCCCAAAGAGTAGGGGGAGGGCGCAGAACCGCCGCGCAAACAGAACGCGAAGAAGCGGCGCGCAGCGAAAACGCCAACGATTTTTGCAAACAAGAACATGGGCCGAGCCACTGTGTGGGAGAAAACAAACGGTGATGTCCGAGAAAACCTTAGCAAAACCGTTCCCACCCACTGCGGGAGAGGTGTCCAGAGCAGAAAACCGCAAAACACACCAGCCAAGAGAAGCTGGCAGGGCGCAGCAACGCTGCACAGACAGCGCACCAGGAAGGTGCCAAACGTAAACACGAACAACTTCGCAACCGGCCAGGCAGGAAACTAAGGATGGAAGGGCGAACAACACTCAATCAGGCCGCCAAAAAAGAACACAACAAAACGCGCCAGCAAATTGAAGGTAGCAGGGCGGAGCGTGGTGCAAACGGAGCGCTAACAAGGCACCCACCGAAAACGCCAACAGGAACATGAACCAAGCCACTAGGTAGGAGAAAGCAGCGGGCGGAAGGACAGGCAAACAACCCACAATAAGGCCGCACACGTCTACACTGAACATGCAGAACACACCATCCATGAGAAGGCAAGGCAAGGCGAAGCACGGCAGCGTCAGCAATGTGCAGAAGCACCGCCCAGCCAGTACGCCATCAGCTGCGCAAGAGGAACCGTCAGCCAAGCCAAAGCAGCAGCAAAACAGAACAAATGGCAAGCCATTGAGCAAAGGCGCCGCTGAAAGGCACCCTACTGTGCAAGGCAGCACGGCCAGAATGCAAATGAGCCACGGCCGAATAGCATTGTACGTCACTCGCCAAATTAACCGCCACATAACTACGGGCCAACAAGCACGAAAACACGAATCACAAAGGTGCAGCCAACTGGCCAAGCAAACAAGATGTCACATAAAAACATTAAACGGAATTTACCGAGGCCAGTAGAACACAAGGGCACGCACAAAGAGGGAGGCCATGCACGAAGGGAGGCGAGGATGGCCAGTGTGACATGAATGAGACACAGCTACAACACCGCAAGCCGCGGTACAAGGAAGCGGCCACATTGTCAATGGCGCTGAAAGGCGCGACATCGCAAGCAACACAAATGATGGCCGCAAAGAAAGCAACGGCCGCGGCCAAAAACCCACAGAGGCAGGCTCCCAGGAATCCAAGCAAAAGGGATGCACTCAACGACAGCCATGGGGCACAGCTACTTAGTTGCAAGCAAAGGCGTTCCGCAAAATGACTGCAAATACAGGCAGGCAGCAAGGACAGCAATGACCCCGATCAAACGCGCTGAAAGCGAGCTCAACAAAACAACACAAATTGATACAAAGCACGGCTGCGTCAAAGACATCACCGGAAGGATGCCAAGTGCTAGGCCCGGCAACAATCAAAGGATCTTAGCCTAAAGCGTACAAAAGATCAATAAAAAGGGTGAGGAAGCTAAACCTGAAACTCACTCAGCAAGACCACGGTGCAGACAGAGACCAACATGTGTGGACTGTTTCCAACATTGACGCCCAGTGGTGGTGGGAAGGAAACACACAGGGGGCCCTAATTCGCAGCGGAAAACCGCCATACTTTTCTCGCCAAGGAGACCCTCCCGGAATACCCTCAGGCCTCGGGGAACGAGTTTATGGTGCACAGCTTTACTATCCTCAGCCATGTCCAAGCAAGCGGAGTCACCGCGTACGATGTAGGCGTCTCAAATTTGGGCGTGGGCGCATGTCTGAGAAGTGAGCCCACCTCGTTGAGGCTTTTCGATCTCCAACAGTGGAGAACCGAAGAGCATCCTCAGCGTCGCTAATGGAGCACCTTTTGGGAGCTCTGTCAGAAGTGGGCACGAAGCTTCCCGCGAGCTCAAGAGTTTGTCTTGGCACGCACCAAATGCAAAGCCCCGGTATGGAAAGGTGTACCTCAAATGCCCGGCATTCCATAGCAGGTTGTCACGACAAGGTCCCTGCCGAACACCCATGAAACTTAAGCAGCCCACGAAGCGCATCTAACAAGGAGGACCAACAGGGTCGAGATCACTCACCCTCGAAATCCGACAGGCCATACATAGGTTGGAAGAAAAAAAGGGCCACTGGGTAGAGAGCGTTCGCCCGAAAGTCAGACCAGGGCACCTCAAATCATGTTTGGGGACTGTGAGCTGGGGAAGCCTTGAGAATGGGCCCATCCCCAGTAGAAGAGTAGAGAACTCTCACCCTCAGCTTAGTGGGTTGAGTACTCTCACCGGGAGTGGAGATGCTAGGTATTGCCCTGAATCCCTTCCCAGTGTAGGGCACGCTGGTGAGATGTCTCACCCCGTGTTTTTTTCGTTTCACCTGTTAATGTTCCATCTGAAGTTGAGTCTGACTCCTGGACGGCGGCCAATGCGCCAAGGCACCTCTGTTGCCTGAAAGAAAAAAGGAAGTCAACCACAAAAGGAGTGGGCCGTGGACAAGAGCGCAGAATGGGCCATGGAACAAGGCTGAGCCACATAGGACAACGTTGGCCTGCTCGATGAGGGTAGCACCCCGTCAATGCCCAGCCATAAGCGGCAGCCCGAAAGACCACACGTGCAGGCGCAACATGACGCAAAAGAAGCCACAAACAATTACACAATGCCAAGAAGCGGCCGCAATTAGCCGCAACAAATACACATGTCAGCCTGGAAGCGGCGGCCTTAGGCGGTGACGCACACTGTGCAGGTGCAGTTCCACGAAACGGTGCAATTGAAGCCAGCCTGGAAGCCGCATCATGAACCCGCAACGGAAAACAACGCACCCACAATGCCAGCGTATTCGTCAGCCAAGAATGCAAAAAAAGCAACCGGCGAAGCACAACGATGACGCAACACCGAGATGAAGCAGCCTGGAAGGCAGCAGAGGCGGGAAGACCATGAAAAGAAAACAGGCTTCGTGAACAGCCGGCAAAAAAGAACCCCTCGCCAAGGCAGCAGGGTGCAACAACTATGGGTGGAGCGGCAACTGCAAAGGAGACGGAAGAAAACCACGCAGCACCTAGCAGGCAGTGTCGCTCTAGACGCGGGGTGGGGAGCCAGGCTGAAGAGGTGCTCTTCGGGAAGCACGATGTGCATCCCTTAGTGCCGCCCCTGGTGTCCTCTTGGCCTGGAAAAGCAGCCACCCTCAGGTAAGAAAGGCAACTAGTCGTGGGATCTTTTTCATTGTTTGTTCATTCCGGGACACTACGGAACAGCTCTGAGCGTCGCCATTTTTACAGATGATGGAATATGATCTGCAAAAGTTCAACAGGCTGCTTTGATATCACCTGTCTCAATATGCATAGAGCTCACATGAATGTCCGATGCGCTTACGGATGATTCCAATCCATGCTGAGGGTTGATAGTTCTCGTTTGGCGAAGAGGCAGCTGCCCTGCTTTGACGAGCTTGTTGCATGCACTGCAGTGTATTCTCCTGCTGTTACCACAGGTCTACCTAGAACAGCCTGCCACGGAGAGCCTGCGAAGAAGCGTTGAAAACATATGATTTTCTGAATCGTCTGAATCTTTATGGTGTCCCACATCACCTGTCTCTTCACTTGTGCTGCAGTATAGCCTGAAATTTTGACTAACCTCAGACCTGAGGTGTTGAATCCTCAGCTGCGATAGTATTGCACAACTTCTCTTTGGAACCGGAAACTCTTAAGAAAACCGGATCGACCAAATTTGTCATGCTGATCAGGCTCAAGCAGATCCCAGCAGTGACTCTGCAAGCGCTCATAGCGGCAAGCGTTACTAATATGCTGCCAGACAGACCAAGTCATCTCCAAACTCGAAAAATTGCTTCATGTCATGCGGGTTCGTCTGTCACACGGGATCCCTCTGCTATGTCTATGTCGGGCAAGGCCTTCCGTTTTGCCGCAGCAACTTTTGCTTCGGCCTCTTCAGCCTTCTCCTGAAACATTTGCTGGCTCTTGCGTGGGCAGGCCTGATCTCACTGAGGAATGCCAAGAGCAACACAGACTGTGACGCGGCATCCAATGAATCAAAATCCAATCCAAGGACGTATCTGCCAGCAGGCCTAGAAGAATTACGTCTCTGTTCTTGCCGAATGCTCAACGTGGGGCGGCGCAGCGACAAAGTCCAGCTGCGTCAAAATGCTAGGGCTATCGCTTGCCCATTGAAGGAGTATTTAGGTGTTTGTTCAGGTGTTGCAAGGTTCATTACGCCCCGTGATAACCTCACAGCTCGAGTGCGCGGCGACCTCTTCGTCCAAGATGGCCAGGTCTGGCGCCTAGCTGATTCTTTAAAGCTCTTGCTGAAAATGGATTTTAACTAGGTCTTCAACAGGCTGCAAATACTTGTAAGGATAAGGTTGAATCCATCTTGGAGTCTCCAGCCACAATCTCACAACTGCAGCATCACTCTCCCGCAAAGAGGCGTGGCCAGTTGGCATTCTCAAACTTGCGTGCACTCCAAGTTCTCAAGCACTTGACACAGGGTTTCAGCTCCAACTCTCCTAATTGCCTCTATAGTCTATGATTTCACCTGGCAATCACCTGAAGCTAGAAAATTAGTTGCAGGCACCTTGCTGTCGTCGGTGTCTGAAAGCGTCTCGGTTAAGTACTGCTGCACTGCAGTAAGTTGCTCCTTCACGGGATAGGTTTGAGATTTCGTGTATCACATCAATGCAGAACTGTGGCTGGAGAAGGTACTCAGTACATCGCGGAGGCCTCTGCCATGTCTTGTGCTGAACAACAAGTCCTGCATGTTCTTGACTTCAGCCTTGCGCAGTTTGATGGCCTTGCAAGGCAGAGGCGAATGCGTTTCTATAAGCTCTTCCTGCAGAAGATCTTGAGGGTTCATCTCAGAGACACAAAGGCTTAGGCAGGTGACTGGCAGGACCGCTTGCTGTTTCAAGGCTTGAAGGTCTGTGGATACGTCAAATTTATCAGAAGGGCGAAATCCCTGCGCCCACTGAACTGCATGATGCTTCGAAGTTCATTCTGCATGTACGGCAGAGTCAGTGTACTCGCTGCATTTCACTTGTCAGGATTTCTTAGTCAGCAATTGTGGAACATAGTCAGCCTCGCGCAGCGTCTTGGACTTAGCAAAAGTAGCCTGGGCAGCAGAATCAACAGGACAGCTATGCCTGCAAAGCATATCTGACACATCCTCCAGTTCTGGGCAACGTAGATACTGGTAGATAAGTTGCGTGTGTCCTAAGAAAGAATGTCAATGTACGAATCCTAGTACTCAGAATCCAGCTTCGTTCTTGAGCTTCAGCTGCATGATGGATTTGGCCAGGTCGGCATTCTCCTATGATTTATCAGCCCAATAATGTCAAACAAGCCGAGCGAATGCCTCAGGCGAATGGCTAAAGCTCCTTGGCAACTCCCTGGTTTTTGGCTTCTTGTTCCTGCAACATGGAAGGGATCATGATATCCTTTGTGGGGCAGCCTTGAAAACACTGATTGAAGGGCCTTCAGCTTCCTGTCGAAGACTGCCTTCTGCCGCTGCAGGCGCAAGCCGTTTTCGTGCTCTATCTTCAACATCTTTGCCTGATTGCAGCAAATGACAAGGGACACAACAAGGATTGAAGAGCCAATGCAGGTGGAACGCACGTTGTCGCCTGCCTCCAGTTGCTTTGCTTCGGAGCTAATTCCAAACCTTCGCTGCAAAACACCCATACAAACGATTTGTGCCCGTTAGGCATCTGGAGGCGACTGAGCTGGTGCACATAGTTTGTGAAGTCGGGCTCATGATGTCGTCCAATGAAGGAAGCTCTGGCATGCCTGGCAGTGACCGAGACACAGTGCCCAATTTTGGAAACTTGCGCTTGCTCAGGAAAGCCTGATCACATTGCCTACATGGATTGCATTGGATTAAATTGTCGCTTGTTCCTGCATGGCGGACGAAAGCTCGTGTGCAAAGCGTTGCACCGCGGACGCAGGTGATGCGGCGGGATTTTTAATAGGACTTGAAATGTACTCCAACCCATGGCTCTTTTTTTGAAGGGAGCACTAGGGAAGTTTAAACGTGCTCGACGAACAAGCTACTTGGGTGCAAGATACAATGCCAAGCGAATAAATGTAAGCCGTCCTCAGATCGGAGAGAAGGGGTACCTTAAGGAACAATTTCCTCAAATCTGAAGAATTTCAGGTGGGAGGGCCCTGCACAAGCCTCTAGATCTCAACGCATCAGATCAGATTTAAAGTTAAGACTGAATCATCAGCCGCACAGCCTTTGTACAATATTTCTTCATGCACAACACGCTTGAAAAATATGGCCCCGAGAATATGAAATTTGAGTAACCTACATGGCCCAATATGCCGAACAACATGGCTGCAAGGAGGAGTTATTTGGGGGTAGTGGAAAAGAAAATGGAAACCACTGTAGCAGGTTTAGGGTTCTTGGGGTTTAAAGACCCCTGAGCTGGATCTTAGGCCCCGGAAGGTTGATTTCAGCCCTTGCATATTGTCTTTATATGAGTTTTAAATACCTTCTTTGTAATTTCAAAGTAATTTGCACATGTGTGCATGCGTTTTCCGCGTTTTAAGCTTTTCCATGGTTTCATGACTTTTTGCGAATTTTCCCACCTGCCCCATTTCCGTGACCTCTCCAGAAATCTGGGGAAATGCGAAAACATGGAGAACAAATGGCAACATGTGGAAAAGTATGGAAACCACTTCGGATACAAGCGCCCCTGGCAGAGGAACTGCAAGCTTTTGGCCCTCATGCTTTTCCACATGTTCCATATTTTTCCAAAAGGGTTGTTTCGTCCTTCATTCATTTTTCATATCCAAAAGAAGAACCTAGGTTTCGCAGCTCTAGCTGGGATCCCTAAAGGTTAAATCTAAAGCTACTTGAAGCTGGGCTCCAGAAACGACCAATTGCTCATTTTGCGGTGTTCAAACTGCCGTTGGCTAATCACGCTTTTACAGAGAAATGCGGTCTGCTTCAGAAAGCTCGTACACTTTGAGCGAAATCTGCCAAGCTGCCATCCTTCCCCGCCTCAGCGAACTTCAGCATTTTTGAAAGCGTTTTGGCTAGCCGCAGCTAACTGCGCTGAGCACACCGCATTTCGCACCCCGGGCACCGCGGGCAGGGCGACTTTGGCGGGATCCGGAGGAAGCTCTCGCCCCTGAACCGATGTCGCTGGCAATCGTGGGCAATCAGCTGCGGCTTGGTAGAGACAAGAGGCAGGGCCTTGGACGACAGCCCGCTTGCTGTGCCCAGCACCAGGAAGAGGCGCTTCATTTGTCCTGGCATGGAGTAGAGAACCACAACGACAGAAGTCAGCAGCTGTCAGGAGCTTACTGAGCGAACTTGCAGGTCACAGTCAGAGCATGTCGCCATGTGTGGTGCTTCCAATTCACAGCATGCCAGAGTGGCTCGGTACCTCTGCGGGCTACCCGATTGGGGGTAAGGCCCGTCTGTGAGCCGCAAGCAGCCAAGAGCACAGAGATCACACAATCTCCCCCAGCCATGTGCATAAGTGCTGCATCCACAGATATGGAAGGCTTGATTTGGCACTCGTCGAACCCATCCTAATGCTATGTTCATTCCCAAGGTATCCCAGCGACATAACATCTTTCAGAGCCACGCTGTGCTCGCCATTTTTGGGACGAGACCCTTGCGCAGGAGGTCTCAAACCGCCTCAGCACCCAAATGACTGTTTCAACAAGAACCAGTTGCCAAAGGCATGCATACAATCACAGGGTAGCATGAAGATTTCCTTCAGCGGCTCATAATTTCTGGACGTACTCAGGCAGCGATCCGTACTTTAGCTGCGGCAGGCATGCAAAAAACTCCCATAGAAAGGCGACATGTGAAAGGGCACTAGGCTGGCTAGAGAAATCATGTTCATGGCGTGCCGAGTGTGGCACCCTGATCCCGCAGTGAAATGCGGCATTCCCATACAGAGTTAGCGGCCACATCGTCCTTTGGGGTTGCAGAAGCGATTCGACAAGTTGTCTCGCCAACATGTTCTTTCAATTGCATATCCATGCCTGAGGCCGTGGCCAAGACTTGTCATGCCGTGAGCATGCCAGCGCTGGTCTCTGCAACCGTTATGACTGGCAGCTTGCTGGCTGGAACCAAGAGACAGCTGGGGCCAACTGCTGCAGCTTTGGATGTTACTGTACCGCCTAGATTCCGAGCCTTAAAACCGTGGACGCCTCATTTCAACAAGATGTGAATCAGTGAATGCAGCTTGCTTAAGCCCCAGCTGCCCGTTAGAATGACCTGCAGCTCCAAGCGCTTTGACTTCCCTGCACGCTTAACCAAACGTAAGATGACCATACTGACAAAGACAAATTGACTTCCAGCGTGCAGGCGTCACAAGAAAAGGTGATTGCAGACCATCTATGTAGATGGGCACTGAGCTACGTCTTTTTTCCGAGACTTCCAGAACAGCTTCTTTCGGCAGAACTTGCTGCAGTGTAACGTACGTAAGAAAGGCAACAAGTTTGCTCCCAGATTGCGAAGCTGTTGTGCCCAAGGCGATTTCAATATCTAGGGTGAAACCAAATCTTGCTCCTCGATTGGAAGCATCTCGGATCCCGTCTCGGCTGTGGAAAAAATTCCCGGAATCACAATCTCAAGGGGGCCGGTTGCTTGACTGGGGTTGACTCGCCAATGTAGGCAGAAACAACTCAACAATCTTGCCCAAGAATTGATAGTTCGACTTGAATAGGTCTTAGCAAATCTTCTATTTGTTCATCTGCGCAGCTCTTCCCCCACTTTTGCTGCTAGAATTGCGGTGATCGTGCAAAAGCCTTTTAATCTGACAATCACAACTGTCAGTCATCATACGTTAGCTGTCATCAGACATTAGCATTAGAAATTGCAAAAGCTACTACTGAGCAAGTACGGACTGTAGACCGGGGCAGGAGACCGGCGGGCGGGACGGGTGCGATTGAAGGTAATTTGTCTACGCTATGAGTTAACGTTACCTAGCCAGCCTGCGAAGCCCAGTCAACCACCCAAGAATGTGCCACATGACTGGTACGCGCTGCCGCAGAACGCAATCGCAGCCTGGACAGACGAACTTAAGCACGACTCAGCAAACTAGCTTTTATTGCAATGCTTGATCTTCTGACCCTTGGCGGTCTGAGCACTTCTTGCAGTCATGCAGCCCACGCAGAAACATGCACGAATACGCAATATGATACCGGACATGGACCTTCAGCAGCCTCATTAACTCGAGTCCGGAGTGGAGAATGCTCAAAAGTTTTCCTGGCATGTGCTTTAGCTGGCAAATCTTGGCCAGATATGGCATCAGCAAAAGTATTGAGGGTCTTGAAGCTCCAAGCATCGTGGCAGGAACGTCGGCAATAGATAAGTGTACCAAGGCAGCGTGATGAGACTGTGTAAAGGCAGAATGGCAGCCTTTTCTTGACAAAGCATGCTAGAACCTGCATGTTGTCTGGGGGTAGCGGGCCACCAAGGACCTTTTCTGGACCCGACTCAGCAGATCTGTTCCGTTTGTCATGTCATGCGTAAGAATGTCTGCCAAAACTGATTGTACACAATGCGTCCTGCACATTGGTCTTGAGTAGATACAACTACTATTGCCCGTACGTGTATCTGAAAAATTCCGGAGCACGCAAGCTATTGCAAGAACTGATCTTCTTGTTCAGCTTCTACTGGCACTGGGCCACCCTGCTTTTACAGCAAGTCTGCTGTCAAACTTCTGCCTGAAAGCATGTTCTGACAAGAGAGCACGTCGCCTTGCCATCAACCGCATGAAGTTCTTACTTGCCCAGGACATATCACGTTACGACCAAAAACTGAGCAATGACTGCAAGCAAAAAGAGCTGTGCAAGCTTGCACTAGGCTCTATCAGGCGGTGAAGGCTTGGGACACTGCACCCTTGCCAGCCATGCAGCACTGAAGGATGCCATTCGTTAGCAGCCGCGGTTGAAATAAAAGGCATCAGAAATATGGGTCCATGTCTACCGCATCCTTTAGTGCTAGTACTGTGCACAGCATCTGCCTTTGCAAACGCTGTATAAAAAAGGAGCCCGCCGTTTCCTTGATACCTCGCTGATCAAAATGCCTCTCGCCTCTGGAGCCGGTGAAACAGCGGGCTCAAGATTGTCAAGATTTTGACCGGCGCCGCTGATCCATGCAGATGGCAATGCCTGTTGTGCTGTCCAAAGGAAAACTACTTCGGATGCATGCCTGGAGACAAGTTGAAGGGCTGCATTCAAGAAAGATCTCAAGTAGACCGCAAATTAGATTTTGCAAAAAACGCTTTGAGAAGGGCCGCAGTAGTCTGCAGCTGACAAAAATGAGCCCTGTCAGGGGCAGGACTGTAAGGAATAAAAGACACTTGCCTCATAATCGCTATCGCTCCCCCAAGGAAAAATGCCAGAGTCTGCATACATAAGCTTTCTTTGATTCCCCTCGACTTTATGCAAGCTTCATCTGCAAGGATCGCTCCCCTGATGGCATGCCGGTTGCTGAATTGCTTTTTTGATGCAGGCAGGCCCTTCCTGGACAGCGCTTTCAGCTCGCTCAGCCCGCTCTGTTTGCTGGCTGTGGCTTCAAGAGATTCAAGAGCATTCGTGATTTGATGAGGGGATGAAGAGATTTTCAACTAGAGCGCAGGCAGCTGCACAGGTGTTCCGGCTCTGCAGTTTGCTCGCTTGCGGAGCTTAGGCTGGCTGCGAGGGGCAAGTTTCAGGTCTCTCATGAAATTGTCAAAGCCCTTTCGGACGGCTTTAGATCTCTTGTAGCATGGCACGATTTCTGGAGAAGGAGACAAGATCGTCTTTCTTATGTCTCAACAAAAAAAACTAATCCATGCATGTGCTTGAGCCCCACGCGCGGCCCTATAACCCTTCGAAATGTGCCTGGGTTCTGCCAGGTGCCAGTGAAGGGCATACGTGAAGTATGGCAGTGTCTATTGGGAACGGACATTACAGTACATGGCATCTGAAGACTTTGTGTTGCTTGGCAATGCTGGCAGGCTTCCCGTGCCCAGGCATTCACCCACGAAATGTCAGATTTGATTGGTCTTTGATGAACGGTTTGGCGATTGCACAAACCGGCAGGACTTCTTACAGATTGGTAAAGCACAGGCAAGACTCATCAAAGTCTGACTCTATGATACACCCTGACCTCTTGGTTGAGCTCAAGCCTTAGCGATGCTGCCAAACATCACAGATTGATGTGAGCCTCCCGCATTTTGAGGAGCCACTTGCAAACTGCCGCCTGGATGCTTTCTTCCTACCCTGACATCCTCTTTTTGCAGCCTCTATTTACTCTATTTGGGTGAATAATGGGAATACATGGATCACACACTAAGGCTGGGGCCAAGACCTACTGCTCTGTGAAGCCATCCACTCTCCTGATGACTTATCTGCAGGTAGCGCTTGTAAGCTGTGTGCAAGCTGCTCAGCTCAAACGCTCAGGCCCATGCCCACGGCGAGTCCGCGGCCCACGGCGCTTCACCTGTCCCTGGGAAAGCTTGTCTTCAAAGTGCGCAGCGTGTTGCAGCATGTTGGAAAGATCTGGGGTTGAAACGGAGGCCTTTTCAGGCTGCGACATGACAGGCTTCCTCAGCAAACAGCCAGAGCTGCGTGCATGCCGCAAAAAACTATTGTACTGTGGTGTGCTTAAAGGACGCTACAAAATGACAGTAACACACTTAACATTTTTTGGCATACTGCTGCTTGGTCCACATTCGACACGACACATCGTTTGCCAGCTTAAGCTCCCACCAGCGTCAGGAGGACCAACCCTTGTTCGGGATCGAACGAGGGTCCCATCGCGAAATATCCATTCACATGTCATTGAGGCCTCTGCCCAAGCATTGGGCGACAGAAAAAATGTTGGAAATTCTTGTGCTCACGGAGGGTCCTGGATTTGAATTCCGGAAGCTAAACAAGTCAGAACTGCTCGGGCGGCGCATACCCCAAACATGTGTGTTGCCGACGAGCACCTCCACCAGATGCGAGACATCAGTCGGGAATGTCTATGTGCAAAGAGTGGGTGCCTTTGGCTTGCTGTCTCTGGATTACAGATGTTGCTGAAAAACAGACCTCATTCCCAAACTCTGTCTTTACAAAAAAGCATATATACATATTCTCTTTGCCATTTTGTGATGCTTTCTGTGTCTCAATCTTTTGCTCCTATTCCGTTTCTTTAATCTGTCAGTGCAAAACCAAGAGTCAAGAAAACCAAGAATGCCAAGCAACAAGAAACAAATCTCGTCCTACTCGACCAAAACCAGATAGGAGCCACGAGCCCGAATGCAGACACGTGTCACGTA